ACACATCACAGATTCCTTACTTCCTCACCGCCCCTCCACTAGATCAGTCGCAGGTCCCCTCCCTCCCACCCTCTCTTTTTCTTCCTCAAGCTGGAGAACTTGAAGGTGGGAGGGAGAGAGGTATGAGGGCAAGATCACCTTCAAAGTACACTCTCCTTTGGCTTTCTCCAAACCACGCACCTCTCCTGAATTCCAGTGAGAAATGACCATTGATTGAAAAACCAGCACTAGAAGGGAGTCTCTCCTGGCCGAAACCGAGTTTGGGCTCTGGTGAGCCCGGAAAGGCTCTTCGGTGGGCCACACGAGCTATTTTGTAGAGGGACTCGGGACTCGGTCACAGCTGATAGGAATCTGGATGGAATCAAGCATAGTCAACAGTCGCCAGCACGTGGGGAGGTGTTGTCTGCGTGTACCAATCCGCAGCGGAAGCGAGCGGCGTGGAGCCGCGGGGCTGCGGTTCCGGATCGCTTTCTCCGCCTGGCCTGGGTCTGCAGCGGCTGCCGGCGACTCGGCAGGGAGGAGGCCGCGAAAGCGCAGCCGTCCGGCCCCTGGTCGCCCCGTTTATCCCCGTAGCCTCTGTAAATTTATACAGGTTATAATTTATTATTTTTATTAACACAGATCAGAGGGAGAAGCGAGAAGAGGAGTATGTGCCAACAGAAAGAAACGAGTGGGAAAGGGTAGGGGACGGAAGGTAGGAGAGAGGGAGCCCCCAGACCGCTTGTGTGGCGCTGCCGGTGACTTCGCGCGCCTTCGCCTGTCCCATGCCCTTGGTTAGGACAGAGCTCCTTCCCAGATTAAATTCCAAAGTAATGCCGCTAAAGAAGTACCCCTTTTGGTGCTTGGATTGGATCCTGACTCACTTTCACTCTCCCTTCTATCTTTTTCTGTATTTCTCATCCGGGTTAGTCTTTTAGCTAATAACAAACATCTTTTTAAGTGTGGGAAGGAAGTCCCGATCTTGCCTCTTTAGAAATTCTGGGACAACCTGATGAGCCTCAATTTCAGGGACGAAGAACAGCCTTTTGTGTATGCCAGGGATTGCCTCCTTGTGTCGGGTCTTGAGTCTGGGAAAGTTTAGAGATTCTAACGATTGTCACGTGAAAAAAAAAAAAAAAAAGCTCTATCTAGAGAATGAAATCCTGATGCCTATGATTTTAAAATTTAGAAATAAATAACTGCTTATAAAGAGAATACAAGTAGATGTCAGGTCGTATGAAATAGCAAGTTCTCTCTCACTCTTCCTTCCCACCTTCACCACCCCCGGGGGCTGAGAGGGCACCAGCGGGCGGTGACGGAGAATGCACGCTAAAAAAGAATCTTTCCAAACTGCCCAATTCAATGAATTTATTTTTTTATTGTATTTTTCCCGTTACCCTTTAGTCCCCTTACACCGGCCTCCCCCTTGCAATCACCACACTGTTGCCCATGTCTATGAAACTGTCTCATTTTAAACTGCACCAAGAAAAATAAGGACCAAATATGTTTTTTAAAACTCACCCCCCCCCGCCCCCACACTACATCCCAGTTAGTTTTGCTATCTGGCTGAAATGGATTCCACTAGGTACAATTTTCCCAGACAGACCTGGACACAAAAGGCTTTTCTGCCCTTCCCTTTCACCCAAGTAGTGGAGACAGACAAACTGATAATGTCTTCCCTGGGTGACTTTTATTTGAAATGGAGTCAGGCTAGTTTTGCCAGAGGCCTGACAGTTTAATTCAGTTTTAATCGTTTCTTTCACGTAGTTCATACCCAGAAAAGACTTTTTCTCTTTTAAAGTGATGGGAGGCACACGCTCCCCACTATATACGGCCCCACCCATGTTTACATGTGCGCAGGTGCACACACGCGCATCCACACACACGCACATGTAGATACGTGCACATGCGCCGAGCTTTTCTCCAGCCAGTTCGCGCTCTGTCCCTGTTTCTTTTGCTCTCTCGACTGGCAATGTGCAAGGCCCTGGCTCGGCCCCTGCACACACGTGCCACAGTTTTGAGAAAACGCCTTTTTAGGTCGATAGCTTTGCAATCACTCCAAAGGCCAAGACTCAGCCCGCCTGCCGTCTCCGACCTTCCTACCCTCCCGCTCCCGGGAGCGGGTTGGCGCCCCCACTTCGGGAGCGAAGGTCGGGTCGCGGTGAGATCTGAGACCCGCTGCTTGACCGGGGGTTGGGGGTGGGGCGTCGGTGGGGGAGAGTGGCTGCTGTTCCTGTTGGGTTCCGGAGCTTGAGCCTGATTGCAGGGTTGCCTGAGGCGGCCCCCGGCGGTGCAGCTCCATCACTCTTTCGCAAAGCCGACCTAGACCTTGACTAAGGGCAACCACGCCTTCATCTTGCCCCCAGAGCCCAATTCACACGTGGATTATTTCTAAGGGACACGGTCTACCTGGCATTGTGGGTATCTTTGAGGCCCGGCTTTCCAGCTTGTCGTCTATGTGGACACAATTTCCCGGGCGTCCGCGCCTTCTTGGTTCTGCGCCCCTCGCTGCCCCGAGTAAAGGTGAAAGAAGTGTCGGAAGCATTGAGTAGGCCTTAGGCCTGCGTGATCCTGGGAGCGTCTTGCAGGCCCATGTAGCCCTTCTATGTCAATTGAGCCGAGAGAAGTACAGGACAATAACCTGTCTACCAAGTTGGCTTCGCCTCTGGAAACTGCGTTAGTCACAGGAGGACTCGGGTTTCTGCGGACCAGCAGCTCCTCCCAGCCCTGCCGCGGGGCCCGAGTAGGCCTGAGAGCCCCGGCGACTCCCGCCCTGGGCCTCATCGCCTCCAAGACTCCGAGTCCTGAAGGTTGGCTCGGAAGAGCTAAGGGTCGCTCCAACTTCGGGTTACCAACAGCCTGGGCCTAGAGCGAGACGCTGCGCTCCGCCAGGCCGCTGATCCCGGCCACAACCGCCTTAGCCACTCACTGCTCGCGGCGCAGCTTCCTGCTCAGTCTGCGCTAGTCCCCCGCCCCCCCGCCCCCCGCGTTTCCTAACCCACTCCCACTCCCGGCCCAAGCCCTCCAGGCGTCCTCTGTTCTCTCAGGCCCTAGCCAGCGCTCCACCAAGCTTCAGAAACTCAGTTTGCGCTTTTAAAGCTATAATACCCGCCTGGGGCGCCACTGCGTTTGGAAGCCCTACGGTGTCCTTTGCAAAGCCTCTTTTTTTCTTTTTCTTTTCTTCTCTTCTTCTTCTTCTTCTTCTTCTTTTTTTTTTTTTTTACAAATGCAAAACACTCCTCCCCCCTGAATCGGTCTCTCAATCCTTTAAAAGGGCCTCTCCCACAAGAGTCACAAAGCCGTTTTTGACCCTGAGGCTGTCGGATCGTACCCCGAGGCGAGAATGGGAGGGCGCCTGGGCGCGCCTGCTCGGGTTCCCGCTCTGAAGGTTGCCTTGGGGGAACCTCGCGTTCCCCGAGTTTAGGTAAAAAGATCGAAGTGGCAAAACTACTTCCTGAATCACTGCTGAAAGCTTAGAGAGAAGTCAGAGATAATAGGGTAACCAACAGTTGTGGAGGTTGAACTGAGGAAGGGAAAGGAAAAACAATCTTTTGTCGTCTGTTTTATATCAAAGATTTAAGACTAATATGCATCATGAATTTTATTCTGCAGAACTTTGCTGTACTTAAACTCATGTCTTTGTTAATCCTGACAAAAATCGAGTTGAAATTACAAAAACTGTACAGATATATGTTCACCATTATTTGTTTTAAAAATGTTCTTAAAATTTTGTTTTAAAAAGAAACAAGCTGGCTCTTTAAAAACCTGAGGGGGGAAAAACGGTGAATTGTTCAAAGCAGGACAAATCTGAAGTTAGGTTAAATCACAGAAACATTTAAAGACACTACAATGAGAAATTTAATTGCATCTTAAAGCTTATTTCACTTTGCAAAGATTTTAGGGGTTTTAAAACTAAGTCCTTATCAAGTCACACAATTTAAGCCCCACGACCTACATTTTTAACTATTATGCTTGTAAGAAAAGGGAGTCACCAAGAATGGGCTTATATGAGGAGCTGAGCTTATTTTGTTCTCATAAATATAATAATATAATGGATTTAAATCTTAATTCTCACTCCCTCCCCAAGAAAAAAAATCCACCGAGTAAAACAAACGAACAAAATATAAACAAGTACAGTGTCTCGCCAGGCAAAGAGTAGGTGCAGGAATGTTTAAATGAGAAAAAATGGGCCTGGTGGATGTGAATTCTCCCTACTTCTCAAAATGTTGAGTTGTAACAATATTAACTGATAAGGGAGTTTAAGGGTTTTGAAAGTCCTCTTGATAGTTTAGCTTGGTGATCATCTCGGTTTAAAGCCAGGCGTCTCAGCTGTTCCAGGTCCTGGCGAAGAAAGCCGGGGACTGGGGCTGGACTGGGCTGGAAACAAGGAGGCTGACCCCGTTCAGCTCCTGGGGTTGGCAAGTCCAAGCCAGACGGCGGCGCTTTTCGCTCTAGGTTTTTTGCAACCTTGTAAGGAAGTGGGCGCGGGCTGAGCGGAGTCGGCGCCTCCTGATTGGCCGGCCTTCTCAGTGATTGACAGGGCCCCGTACTCCACCCCCACCGCTTTATTGACACTAATGAGCAAGTTCTTCCCACCGCTCTCCTGACTGGAAGTGCTGACAGATCAAGGCAACAAATTTCAATTACAATCCCTAATTTGTGTCCGCAGAGTGTTTTTTACCCATGTTAGTCCTCTTTGGCGCATCAGTCGAGGCAGATCTTGGAAGAGCAGGAAGAGGTGGAAGGGGTGGGAGCGAAGGAGTGCATCAGTGAGAGAGAGCGCGCGAGAGACCGAGGAAAGGAAACTTGGCGGGCGCGCTGTTGGTTCCTGGGATCCTAACACAAGCGAGAAAGAGGAAACGCCAAATTTGTTTTTGCCCGCGGCAGGGAAGGGGGCAGATCTCGGCCTGTGGGAGGCCACAAGAGTCTTTCAGATTTTGGTGGGGGAAGGAGAGCGAGTGTGCGCGTGTGCCTGCGTGAGTGTATATGAGCGAGGGGCGGGCGGGCGCCTGGCGGCGGGGATGGCCGAGAAGCGGAGGGGCTCGCCGTGCAGCATGTTAAGCCTTAAAGCACACGCCTTCTCCGTGGAGGCGCTGATCGGCGCCGAGAAGCAGCAACAGCTTCAGAAGAAGCGGCGGAAGCTGGGCGCGGAAGAGGCGGCCGGGGCCGTAGATGACGGAGGCTGCAGCCGCGGCGGCGAAAAGGGCTCTTCGGAAGGAGACGAAGGCGCCGCGCTCCCGCCGCCGGCTGGGGCGGCATCCGGGCCCGCCCGGGGCTGCGCGGACCTGGAGCTGAGCTGCGGCTCCCGTGGAGCCGCGGGTGAGTCGGCCACTTGCCACCCAACTTCTTCGCGGCGCGTACCCTCCCCGGTCCCGCCGGCCCGCACGGCCGCGGAGAACCTGAACTTCTGCAAGTTGTGAGCGTGCACGAGTGCGGTGGTCCTGCGCTCCCGAGGCAACTCAGCTGTTAGCTCATTAGCCGTGGGTGTCGGGGTGCAACGTTCGCCGCCGCCCTGGTCGCTCTCGCCGTGCTACTCGTGTCATCCCTCCGGACGGTTAAAACGCCGCTTCCAGCCTCGCACCTCGGGCGGCTGCCGCCTCCCGCTCGGCGGTCCGCGCCCTCTGCGGCTGCTGTTTGCGGCGCCCCGCGGTGCAGATCTGTGCTTTTCGCATCTGCTTCACTTGGGGTTTCAGTCTGTGGGTGCTCTATTTTTCTTCCCTAGCTTTTAAAAGCATGGAGGTGGAGAGAGCGACGGCATAACCGCCCCCCAAACCGGAACGAATGCCCTAAGCCATTTGGGCAAACCAGGAAGAGGGCGGCGTATTTGCAGACGTGGTTTCCCGAGGGGTAGCTGAACCGTACCATTCCCTTCCCTTCCCTGCTTGATTCCTGCTGCCAAGGCCGACAACGACCGTGGGCTTGCTTTTAGCTCTCTTCGTGGTCCTTAGCTGTTTGGCCAAGAGGCTCAGGGCGACTGGGGAGTTTGGCGGGAGCGGAGCCTGAAACGTTTCTGGAGGATGCCTCCGGCCCAGCCTAAAACGAGACGCTTCAGACGCCTATTGAAAAGGGAGGCCCTGGCGCCTAACACCAGGCACCCAGCACTAGACGTTTTAGCTGCGTGCGCTCCGTGCGTGGGGTGTGTCGGGGTCTGCACTGGGAATCTGAACTCGGGAACCCGACTCAGGCTCCCTTGGGCGCGCATCCCACATCCCGGTGGCCGCGCGAAACTTACTTTGGGGCCTTGACCGCGCGGAGGCGGGGTGGACTCGGGACTTGGGGGCCAAGGGGGCCCCACTTGAGCTTCAAGGGTCTCTTCGGCGGGCAGTGCGGGTGTTTAACAGTAAACCTGTTTGTTAGAAGGACACCATGACAGGAAAGTTTCCTCTTTTCTCCTGGTCCTTTACTTACCCCCCAGCCTCCCTCCCGAGGTCTGTCTCCTCATCAGGATTCCCCTCTGGGGTCCTCACTGGTTACCCCTCTCTACTCTTTGCTGCCCAGGAGGCTGTGAGGATGGCTTCCTGCAGGGCGCTTCCCCACTGGCGTCCCCGGGAGGCTCCCGGAAGGGCTCCCCGGTGCCCGCCCTGGCCAGGCCCGGGACCCCGCTGCCATCACCGCAGGCCCCGCGGGTGGATCTTCAGGGAGCTGAGCTCTGGAAGCGCTTTCACGAGATCGGCACGGAGATGATCATCACCAAGGCGGGCAGGTAAAGGACGAGCTGGCGCGAATGGCCCTCAGCCCTGGCCACACCAAAACCTTTGGGTGGGTTAGGAAGGCGGGGGGGGGGGGGGGGGGGGGCGGTCTCTGGTTAGCATTTTCGTGTAGACGGGACGAGGCTCTGGGTAGTGGTTCGCTTTTGAGACTGGCTTTGCCTACCTACCCCCGAGGGCTGTCGGTGAAGGGCACAGATCCGCCGCCCTCTTGTTGAATGGATGCTCAGGAGAAAGTCACTCTCATCGCCAATATGGTAGTTGTTTCGATTGATACTCTGCCTGCAGGGTAGTTAAAGATTCGTGTTCATATTTATATCTGTCCGGGCATTTATTTATACTCTAGTTCTAGCTTCTGGTACTATGGGACACATCACCACCACTACCCGCCACCCTCCCCTTCCCCCCGCCCTTTAAAAAACGCAGTTTACTCTTGAGCAAACTATGATTTGCTTTTTCAGATTGAAACTCACACATTGGTTCTTTATCAAAAGATTTCCTGGAAATGTGAGAACGTGGTGTGTTGTGTTATTTGGATATTCGACTAGGATGAAAAATGACTGGAATCCCCCGTAATACATGTTTAATTCCTTCAAAAATGTTTACCCTGATTTTTAAAAACCACTTTGTTTGTAGATCCACAGTTACTTTGTTAACATTTTTTTCCTTAATGGAATCCAACGCATTAGTCTAAATTTGCTGAAGAATTCCAAAAAATATATAGAGTAAGTAATTATATCCATTTTTTGAAAGTGAAATTTACATATCCCTCAGTTAGTAAAATAAATGGGGTTTTTTTTGCCAGATCACATTAATTGGAGAAATATCTGCATTTTAAAGTTTTCAATTCATTTAGTGCATTGAAATCTATGAATAATATCTTCCTCAAAAAGAACATAAAATGAACACACAACTCTTTTAGGGAGTACACATGGCAAAAACCTGGATAGTATAAAAGTATCCAAACTTATTAGAAATTACAAAAACATATTTTATTGAATCCATATGCTACCTTCTACATTTTCACAGAGCTATTATTAATGATCCAAATTCAGCCTTCAACAACACAAAGCAACAGTTGTCTTATAAAGGATGTAGTTAAAGACCTTTACTCTTTATCTTACAGGTGCACTGAAATAACACTAAAACAGCCAGCGTATTAAACTGTTCTCATGCCTAGTTAGGAATAATGGACTTTCTTTTTTTGTGCAAGTGGTCTTTAATGACATTATTGTTACAGGGAGAAATTGGTAAATAACAGTACTAAAATTCGTGTTATAAGGTAAATTAGCAAAAATTAGATTAACTGGAAGGGTCTTAGACATAAATCATTAGAAGAAAGATTTTTTAAAAAGAAAGAACTGCTCTCTTTTTTTATACAATAATTTGTTGTTGTATTCCTTGCAACTGTGCCCCTTTGAAAAGATAGGTGTGTTTAGTTTAGCATCTCCAGATATGCATCTGTGGGAAGCAAAGAGAAATTCAGATTTTCATTTGCTTTAATTAGCAATGTTTTGCGTAAGTGTGGTTAAGTAAGAAAGTATTATCAGGTTATGGTGGGGGAAGGAATGATTTGGTAAATATACATTGTGTTTAGTTTCTGCTTTCAATAAAGAAGTTTTACTATACCTTTCAAATTTAGAGCAACTTTTGCACTTCACCTTTACCATGCTGCAGACAGGAAGTCCTGTCTCAATAAAGAACATATTGTTTGGTTATAGCATGGCACATTGGCTCCTTGTGGTTTTTTATAACCCTTTTAAAATTTCACATTATAATATATTTTATCACTTTTAGGAATTCAAAATTTCTATTTCTACCATTTGGAACATTTTATTAATTGTATTATTAAAGTAAATATGCTTATTGATTTTTTTAAAAAAGTGCTTCCTTTAGTGCCTTCACTCCTTCAGTGTACAAAATTCTTTTGCTTTTAGCTATACTGACATTTCGGTAAACACAACGCGCAAGCATAGGGTACAACCAATTACATTTAAAAGTGTCAGTTTTGCTATGTCCCTGTTCTGATTCTTTGAATTAAATTACCAAAGTGAATGCTACAAATTTGTTTATATGAAAAATACAGATTCTAAAGGTTTCTTTGCTTATTCTTTCTACATATGTGATCACAATCAAAAACAAAAGCCAAACCCTTTTTTCTTCCCTCCCTTGTACATAGGCGCATGTTTCCAGCAATGAGAGTGAAGATCTCAGGATTAGACCCTCATCAGCAGTATTATATTGCCATGGATATTGTGCCAGTGGACAACAAAAGATACAGGTACAGTGACTGCATGTGTGCAAGAGGATAAGAAAACACTAGGTTATGTCTGTTTGATCTGTAACTATGATGTTTGTTTCAAAAAGCCTGTAGAATTCCCAGATCCATAATCCAGTACCCTCTGACCAGTAGCCCACAGGATGCCTTTTCTTACGGTAAATGTGGAAATTTAATTTTTGTTTTGCTTTCCACGGATACAGAAATCTCTTTAAGTCCTAAGGACTATTCGTAGGGGCCAGTTTAGTGTCTCTAACCCAAGTGAATATCTATTTACATTTTGATTAGAATTTTGAGAGGGAATCTTAAGTAAAGTTTGTACATATACATTATTTAATGAAATGTTTTATTTTTTTGTGATTTTTATCTTTAAATAAATTCCCTTTACCTGGTTACATTCAAAATGGTACCTGTTTGCAGACTTTCCTCTTGAGAAAATGATTAAAGATATTTTACAATTTAGAAAAAATAAAATCTCATAATTCATTATGATATTAAGACATCTTTAAACTGGTAATGAATTAATTGTCTTAGTGTTTTTGCTTCATAGTTACTAATCTGTAGTATTTGAACTTTGAAAGAGAATATATTTATATAAATATCAAGTAAGGCTGGAAAAGATGTACATTCTTCATAAGCTTTGCTCTTTTTCTTCTGCAAGTAAGCAAATCAATAATTTTTAATGATGATGTTTTTTATATTTTTCTGAGGAGTTAAAAATGCTAACATTTAAAAAAAGTTGATTTTGAGTGGAAAACCAGAAAATGCTACTCTAAATTTTGGTTTTCTTTGCTTCTGTTTTTTTTTAAATAAACACCTAGAATATTTGGTAAGTTTTTCAATGAAATAGGATTTGGTTTTTATCATTTTTTTTAAATTTAGAGAGATACTTTCTGGTAAAAGGTTCATGGTATCAAAATATATTGATTTAATGAGTACAAGCACATGTAGAATACTAAAAAAGGGTAACAAAAAGGACAGTTATATTATTTGTCTTTTGTGTATAAGTTATATTAAATAACTCAGGGAATTTTGCTAAAATTATCTACTGCATGACAGAAGCTAGAGGGCATTGAAGTTTATTTTTTTTCTATACTTGACTTAAAATTCATATTCTAATGTGGGTTTTGTGCTAAGGAAGATAACGTAGTTCTTAATGAGCTTAGAAATTATTCCTTTCTCTTCTAAGTTTATCTCATATTTCTTTTTCCAGATCTCTTCCATATAGGTTGGATGGTTTGTTTTACCTAACTGATTCTTATTATTTTCACATAACACCAAGAACGATTTCAAGTATTAGTAGTAAGATGCCAGGTTTTTAAATGATCAAGTTATAAAACATAAATTTGCTTCCAATTATATTGCTTCCCAAGAAAGTTGTTTTTAGCATATGTATTTACAAAGTTTCACAAAGAATATGTAGCATGTAACATTTATTCTCCTAGTGGGTGCAGATTTTTGAACTGTTCAATATGCGTAGTTTTTCAATTGATAGAGCATATTACTCTATTTATTTTGATAATAACTCCTTGTCCATAGTGCAGCTGTTAGGTTTTGTTTTAGTAGTTGTTTTTCTGGATTTTTTTTTTTTTTTTTTACATTTCCAAGATTTGCATTATATTTTCCAACTTTTTCAGCACTAATAGAAAAATAATTTGGCTTATTCTCTGCTATCAGAGAGTGCTATTTGGTCAAGTTGAAAATGATGTGACTTATGAGAATGTAAAAATAATATTCACAAAGGTATATGCATTTAGGAACTTATTTATTGAAATTACACTATACCAAATAAGGGAATTTTTAAAAAGTTATTCTTAATTTTGTGACTATTTTTTCCCAAGAAAAGGAATTAAAGAATAGAAGGCATACTGAGCTCAAAATAGAGTGAAATATGTGACCACAGTTGAAACTGAGGGTCTTACCAGAGATGCTATGAAAATGTTTCATGCTGTTTAAAAAAGCAGTGTACACACTACACAGGTAAAATTCTCTGAGACTATTTGTATAGTGTTGCTTTACATCTTATGTCATATTTTAAGAAACAAATGGAATAAAAAACACCTAATTATATAAAATAACTTTATTTTCCACCCTTTTCTAAGTCATTCATTGACATACTAGTTTCTAGTTTTTGAATTAGTGTATTTTAAGTTACACTAATAAATAATAATCTGAGTGTAGAATTAAATATTATGATTTTATGACTCAAAGAATTGTGATTTAAATGTGTTATTTTTAGAGTCACTATTTTTGACATGTAAACAAACAGAATAGGATATTTTGTCTCTTAATTAGGAGGGTAATATTAATTATATATACCACAATTTTCAAAGTTTTATGTATATTTTAATTAGTGGTATTTTAAAACTATTTACAGAATTTTCTTCTAACAGTCAAGAAAGAAAAGTATAGGAGACAAAATTCTACATTTTATGATTATACAAACTTTTAAAATTAAACTGAATACTTTATCCTTAATTTATAGTATAATAGAATTAGAAAAAGTAATTCTAAATAATAGATAAAATTTTTTTGCTATGAAAATAAAAGTTACTGAAACTTCTAACAGTTTCCCTCTGCCTTTCTGCCGTCTATCCCATCAACTTGTACATAAGCCTAAAATGGGACATGATAAAGGAAGTGGGACACTTCTAGATATAACTTTCATGTATTTTTGAGGTTCACTTAAAAGTGAGCTTGACAGCTGAATAGTTTCTCATGTCAATTGACTCTCCACATGAAAAATGGAAACTACCAGAATACAGACAGAATGACTAACATGAATGAGTGTGATTCCTGAGAATTAGGATGCTTGCATTTATGGTGGTAATGGTGTGCATATTTTCACTAACCTCTTAACACATCACTTTGAGTGGTCAGTAGGCCAATGGCTGCCTCAGAGAGTTTTTAAAAAGTTGTCAAAATCTTATTTTCTATTCTTTGGATGTAAAGAGCAAGTCATTGTATTTTAGACTTCAAACTTTTTCTGATTCTAAAGAGTTGGAAATTCCAAGAAAGCAATAGTTGACATACTGAGCCTTGTTGTTGGCTTTTAGATATGTCTACCACAGCTCTAAGTGGATGGTGGCGGGAAACGCAGACTCCCCTGTGCCACCCCGGGTGTATATCCATCCAGACTCGCCTGCCTCAGGAGAGACTTGGATGAGACAAGTGATCAGCTTCGACAAGCTAAAGCTCACCAACAATGAACTGGATGACCAAGGCCATGTGAGTAGCTGGCATCCATAATTCACGGCCATTGGATGGCGCACCCATATCCATACTGGGCCAGACTGAAGGAAATGAACTTTTCTAAGATCAATAATATTTCTCTCCTGGTTGATCAGCATGTGCATAATAAGCTGTGTAAAATCAAAGTGCTAATTGCATCAGAGGCTATGCTGGTGGCCAGAGTGTCCTATGAAGCATTTAATAGATAAAAACTAGATACTGCGTTTGTATTGGAATGAGAGAACCCCAGGCAGACTGTTTAACCAAAACATTTGTTTGAAGTCTTGTGATGTGCTAATTATTGTACTCAATAGGAATACAGTTGGTTTAACTGGAATTATAATTTATTGTGTCCTGCCTGCATCCAACTTTTTTCCCAGTTAAGGCTTATTGCCTCTCAATAATGTTCCATCTGCAAAATCCCAACTGTTTTATAATGACATCTAATGTGTCAAAATATGTTAATATTAGTCTTAAAACTGGTGAAATATGGTATGTAAGTCAAAGCCAGCCATTCCAATAATAGTCATTTTAACACCTTATTAATTTTTATGCATTATTGTTCATAGGCAATATTTCTTCATAATTATTTTAATAAATAAGTAACTCTGGGTACATGCTTATTTCCATTCAAAGCTAGCATTTCTATTAGGTTTTTGTTATTTGAGAGGGTTTTGATTGATGCAGGATTAAAATGTGTTTTGACTAGTATATCATGCATAAAATGAGTATCGACTAGTTCATTTCTCAAAGGGGTAACAAAGACAGCATATTTATGAGCAAATCTTTTAAAACAAAAATGCAAACTGTTATAAACTAGTAATACTGTGATGACAGGGTATGATTTGCAAGTTGCTAAATGATAATTTAAGCAATTGACCTTAATGAAAACATTCAAGTACAAATTACATTGTGGTACAAAGGCAGTATCTAGATTTTGAGGCGCATCTATCTCACTTTGCCAGTGCTCTTGTTTATTTGTTGCCTTTTATGATTTGATGATTTAAAAGGCAACAAATAAACAATTGGAAAGGTAGCATTGTAGATTTTATTCCTGAATACAGCTTCATGCCCTACATTTTGATGCATTATTTCGTTTTTCCTTTTTATTTCCACAATCAAGCTGTACCAATTATTTTTCACCTGACTTCAGTGAAACAACACTAGTTAGTGCTGTCTCATTGAGGGAACTGACTGTGATATGTTGCCAGCATGTCCACTGAAAGATCTTCTATTATTTTGGAATAAAAGGTTTAAAAATAAATGCCATTAAGTGTTACTTGTTTTAAAAAGCTTAAATACTCCACTTTACTGAATTTAACAGTTTGAGAATATATCTTACAGAGAGATAATTTGGTCTAAAAATGATATACTGTCATAGATAAGGTATAAACTCTTTAGTAATTTAAATTAATATACTCATTTTATAATTCTTTCAGATCAGATTACTGGCTTTATGGCTCATATCTAGAATCTATAATATTAATATAGATCTAGTCATTTATTTGTATGATTTTAACTTTGTAATTTCAACTAGACTTTATTTAAAACAGTATCCTCTAGAGAAACAGAACCAATGGGATGCATATAAATATACAGAGAGAGGTTCATTTTAAGGAATTGGCTCATGCAATTTTGGGTGCTGGTAGGTTCAAAACCTGCAGGATAGGTTGGCAGGCTGGTGACCCAGGAAAGAGCTGATGTTGTAGCTCAAGTTTGAAGGCAGTCTGGGGACAGAATTCCCTCTTCCTCAGGGAACCTCAGTCTTTTTCTCTTAAGGCCTTTAACTGATTGGGCAAGGCCCACCCACAATATAAAGGATAATCTGCTTTACTCAAAGTCTACTGATTTAAATGTTAAGTTTATCTTAAAAAAAATACCTTCATGGCAACATTCAGACTGGAGTTTGGCCAAATACATAGGTACTATGCCCTAGCCAGGTTAACAAATGCAATTAATTATCATACAGCATTTGTTTAAAGCACAAAAGATTAAAAATTGAAACTCAACTGTTTATAACTAAATAATTATTATATTTCACTATTAAGAAAAACAAAAACATAGCAGAAAATAGACAAAACCCAGAGAAGTGTGTCATCTGTCAGTGAAATTTTTCTTGTGAGGTTGTGGTAGGATGTAATACTTTAAGGGAGGTAAGTAAGGTGTGGGGAAAATAGGGAGAGAAAGGTATATATCTCTGCATTTTGGAAGCAAGGAAATTGTCTTTGCAAATGGTAAAAATGTATGTATCAGTTGATACTAGAGGAGAATGTAGGAGGGGAAAAGCTCTTTTTTGTTATTTATTTTAAAAACATATTTTTGAAGACTTTGTAAAATGTAGTCTAAGGTAAAAAGCCGTAGTCTCTGCCTTTGGTGACCTTCAAGCCTAGCCGGAAGAGAAGACGCACACCCAGAGAATCACGCTGTCAGCTCAGAGAATCACGGATGCCACATTGTTCTGGTCCGGAGAGGTTGGGGAGGCTTCCTGAAGACAGTATCTGTTTGTTTATGCAGTTTGATGACCCCAAAGAGTTTAGGTTAGAGGTTAGGAATTTGTTTCTTATTCTATTGTTGATGGGATTCAGGTCTACGAAGACAGTAGTACAGTAGTACCGTTATGGTGGGGCTTTTAAATTCAGTAGTCCCTTTCTTCATGCAGAGACCACTCAGGGACTCACCCCTCTGCCCTTATATGGTTGAGGTCCCTCGCCCCCAGCTGTAAAGGAAGTGATACTAATCTCTAACTAATCAAGCTGTAGAGTCAAATGAGAAGTGATTTACTAATTTGCTTCCTAAGTTGCTTTCTTTTTTTTTGTGCTCCCAGTACCCAGTTTTACTTTGCTAAATATATACAAGTGTTCCACAAAGTGACTTGAGACCTCCACGTACACCTGAAATTTTGTTAAACCCAGAATGATTACAGGACTCAAATTTTCACAGGGCTGTGACTGGACCTAGGACTGCATGAGATCTGATATTATATGTCATTGGGTTTCCCCCAAAGTGACTTTTCATCTTCCAAATACCAGGGATTGTTTAGAGAGGAAGACTGTGGAGAGTGGAAATGTCCCACTGCTCCACACCTAATCTTTGAATGCAGTGAAGACTTTATAATACCTACTTGCTCTTTGAAGAATCTAGAGCCAGTTTTAGTTTGGATTGTGTAGAAAACAAGACTGGTCCTTGGGCTTCCCATGTGCAGATGGTTAGTGTACTTGGGTGGAGTATTTCCTTCTCATCATGTGCATGTTCCCCTATTCACCTGGAATTTGCTGTCTGAAGGGAAGCGTTTAGAGGATCATTTTCCTGAAGAAGTAGAAGACATTTAACAGGTGCACCCGAAACCTCAGCAGGACTCATAGTGCTTTGGAAGGAGCACACCCAGGCAGCAACCGCCAGGGTATCTGTGAAAGGGTCTGTTTTCCCGGCTGCTGAGGATTCAGTGATAAAGAGGTACCCTAGCTCTAACTTTGTACTCACCCTGTCTCATTTCTGCTTGAGAATGCAGTGGAAAAGCAAGATACTACAGGGGAGATTGCTAAGATCTCCTCGAAGGAAAGAACTTGCAACAACTTAGAGATCCAACACATTCACATTCATGGGCAAGTCACTTTGTCTCTGTGAGGCTTAGTTTTCTCTTTTTTTGTGCTCCCAGTTCCCAGAGAATTTTGTGTATTCTTTCAAATTCATCAAATGAGCTGATGAATTTGAAAGTATATAGTTGTAAGGAGTGCTTTATATATAGCATCATGCCTGAAACAAAACCAAGGTCACCTTGCTATGGAGTTGGCAACTTGGTGTCTTGCATCAGCCCTGTACCATTTAAAGTGAGTTGGTACTTGGTATCACCAAAAATTCAGGGAATCAGGTTTTTGTTATCTCTTCTTCCTTGGCTATTTGTTTGACTTGTCCCAATACTGACATTTAGGTCATCTAGGAAATTTCTGGAGTCAGCAGGTAGTGGTTCCCAATTGAGCTGCTTTATAAGGCATAGCTGGCATATATGTCAAACTACAGGAACTTTAGGCTTATCAGATCAAAAATAAGTGATATCATGCTTCTTTTGACTCAAGCCTAGTGTCTTAAAAGTTGTCTTAAAAATGTGTATTAACCTGCAAAGCTGCATTCTGTATTATGGACATAGGCTCATGTGATATTCGTTCTACTAGGTAATGCCAAAAAGAAAAGAAGTCCTCCATCTAAACAGAAAAGAAAGCGTGGAACATGCATATCAGATATAATTATTTTTGGTGATGGGCATCATCACTGTGGTCTCCTTGTTTACAAAGCCAGTGGTTCTCTTTGCTCTGCTTCTTCTATTAAATAAATAAAATATTATTGACCACTCATCATTATAAGTTTGATAGTTCATTAAAAAATCAGACAATGCAGCATTATAAAGAAGAATCGAGGCTTGTTTAGCATTCCCTAAAAATTTCCATGGATATATTAATTTTCAATAAATAATATTGAAAATTACATTTTGCTTCATTAATCTTTAGATTATTACTGGCAGTTGCCCTTCAATGTGCAAATACAGACATAGCTATATGGAGAAATCTGCTAGAGAAAACAGAGACTTCATAAAACAAAAACCTCCCTTTTACTGACTGGTAAACAGAAACTCAAACCAGTTTTTGTTTCCTTCATTTCAAGTCAGTTCATTCTAGTCCTCAAATTCACTACGCATTTGTGATTTGTTTAATGTGGAGGAGCTTCCTCCAGTTTTTATTCCGCTCTGTAAGTTGATGATGATTAGAATTAGTAGAATTAAATCTTGCTTCTGTGTTTTTCAGACTTTTTACCTGACTCACAGCCAGAGACACATTTTATGTTATAACCTAGTACATGTACACACAAAGAAAATAATATTTTGCAAAATAATACTTATCCTTACTATAAATAGCACATGCTATTTTCTACTTTATTTTTTAAAAATTGTTTTTATTGTTGTTCAGTTACAGTTCTCCCCATTTCCCCCCCCATTACTCTCCCCTGTCCTACTAACCCCCACCTCCCACAACCTATCCACCACATGCATCCCCCTCCCCCACCCAGTCCCTGCCATTGTCTTTGTCCTTGGGTCCTTTATACATGTTCCTTTTTGTGAGCCACTAACAGGTTACTGAAATTCTGTCCATTTTTAGACTTGGAAAGAGGCTTTTCCAGAGGCTGCAGATTCGTGTGTGTGTGTGTCCCCAGGTGATGACAGGCTGCCATACACTCTTCTCCTTTCTTCATACTTGGGCTGCCTTTCCCTCATGTGTCTGCTGCCCAATCATCCCCTCCATGGACAGAAAAGCTATTTTAGGGTAAAAATACAAAACAAAACTAACGATTGTGTTGGTTACTACCAGAGTGTAAAGACATTCTCACAGCGGCAATACACTCTGGGTAGAGAGCTTTTGTGTGTGGGCTGACCAAAGATTCTGAATTTGGCTCATTAAACTGCCTGAATTCTGAAAAGCACAAGGCAGATCAACCACTGTTTTTCCAAGACTTCTGTTTAAGCACTCCTAACATCCTAAAACCTGAATTCAAATCATATAGCTCAGGAAAGATAGAGGCTTGTTAACTAAACTCATTAATGAATATCTGAATGGGGAGTCTCATCAACAAATAGAAAACCTCATTGGGTGAAGCTGTTTCTTTACCCCACCTCCTCAACCTTGAAAGCATAAAATATATAAAGAAGAATAAATTCTCACATAATCCCATCATCCAGAGATGATCACTGTTCATATCTTTGGATGGGTCCTTTTTACTATTTTTATATAGTTGTGGTATGTTTATAAACAACTTGGATCCTTTGTTATCATGTAAGATTTAAAAAGAAGACTATTATGTGGTTAAAATTGTACTAAACAGTAAGAGAAATGACTGAATAATACCACATCCAGTTGTGTTGCCTTTCATTAACCTAACCAATCTACTCATGTAAGTGCTTTATTGTTTTTCCACTGTTATAAATGGTTCACTGCACATCTTTGTAATGGAATGCTTTTCTGGATTTTAAGTATTTCCTTAGGATGAATTCTTACGAGTGGGTAGAAGGTAGAATGTAGTTGAAGCATAGTATCAGATTCCTCCAGCAGAGTCTCAGTACCAGCTTCTGCATCCCCAGGTGTCTGGGTTTTGGAAGCTTTGCTGTGATGGAGGCATGGCTGCGCGGCTCTCCCGACAAACCAGAGACTTTGTGAGCTGCACATATGGCAGACCCTAGGGTATCTTTAAAAGTCCCTTTCCCCCTAAATAGACATGTTGCAGTCATTAATAGAGGAAGACTGTTCTCTTAAGAAAACCTTGGTGTGCAAATACTTATTGTTTTAGGGGATGGGTGTGGTGGAATTTAAATAATCATTTCAAACTCACTTTTAGTTTTATTGGTTTGGATTCTATGTTCCATTCAGCTCATTATAAGTAAAATACGAATTTGAGGTTAAGTTTACATGGTTATACACAGGGTTTCACCAAAATAATGACTTTTTTCTTTTGTATTTTTAGGCACATTTTACAACTTCCCAGCCCTGCTTCTCCAATTTTGATATACTTTATTAAATTAGCATTTCTGCATCCTTGGAAATTTGTATTTCCAACTGGGATATATTTTACATATTAAATATTTCATCATGGCATTGAGATTGGGCAAAGATTCCTGATACATTGGGTTTTCCTTCCTCATTATAGATTATTCTTCATTCTATGCACAAATACCAACCACGCGTCCATGTCATCCGTAAAGACTGTGGCGATGATCTTTCTCCTATCAAGCCTGTGCCATCTGGTGAGGGAGTGAAAGCATTCTCCTTTCCAGAAACTGTCTTCACAACTGTCACGGCCTATCAGAATCAGCAGGTATCATTCTCAGAACTGGTATCTTTCTAGACTTTTCATTTCAGATGTAGATAGAAGGCTATCTATCCTTTTTATTATATCTAAATATGAATTGTCACAGAGCATTTGTCATATATGATATCCAGGGTATATATATAGTGGTAAAAATTCTTGATCCAGGATTCCCCAAGTAAGGCTACTCTAGTGAGGATTTTTTTAGACAAGAATGTGTCTTATGACCAGCAGTGTAGGTTTACTTTCCATTTTGAAATATTGAGTCATGATGTCATAGTTCAGTTAGAAAGTGTGTGTATTGCCTAGGAAATAGACATGGGGAATATAAAAAAACAAATTGTACAATGTCAGAGACCATTGGGTTCGGTAACTCACTTTATTTTAAAACTACAGTCCGTGTATTATGAGAAATATTTCAGAAGCATTTATCCTTCGTAGTCATTTGGGGATACATACAAAAAAGGCTATTTCTTTCAAGAGATGCTTTAATTTTGTGATAGTGGGTGATATATATGCTTATAGTCTGAAAGATCAGCAAATGTGGAGTAATCCTTTCCTAAAATTTGAAATAATTTGAGAAATAAAATATTTCTTGTGTATGTGGATAAGCATACACACACATATATGTATGTATACATATATGTATACACACACACGTGTGTGTGTGTATACATATACTCACGCACTTTTTTTTATAAGGCTGTGTCAAGTAGGTGGAGAATTTAATCAAACCAATTTTTTAATCCATGCAATTCTGGCCAGTTTTCATAAAAAACAGGGATGTAATTGAGGTTGATGTGGCCTTTGGTACATTTTTTAAAACTTTCAGTTGTCAGCAGAATTATTTTAGGTCTCCATTTCTCTTTAAATTTACATACAACTCAGTTAAAAATGTTAAGGCTTTCTAATCTCTCTTTTGTGGTTTCTGTTGTTTTAAAGCTTCTTAGGAGACGTGGATCCTGACCTCCCTTTTAAGGTTGAGAGCCTTACCCACTCTCATCCCTCTGGAGATACCAGTCCCACGACCAGAAGCTGTCCAGTGCTCTCACACTCACATTGCTGTGTTTTCAGACAGGCTTTTAAGAAGCAACAGGAAATGAACCTGTAGAAGGGCTGGAGATAATTAGAGAGATATTTTAAAATATGCTAGGTACAGAAAATAATTTTATTTTTAAAGGAAAAATGTAATGCATGAGGAGAAAAGAGCAGAGTCATTTAGTACCTTTAAAACAACCCCAATTCATCTTTCTGTGTCTTTCTCTTTCTTGAACACACAAAAATTAACTGTTAAATTTTTTTTTTTTCTCCCAGCCTCTGTGATACAGTAAATGAGATACAGTCAGCTTTTGGTACATGTTGGTCACTTACTAATACCAATTGACAAATGCTGACTAACTGATTGAAGAGGGTAGACAAATTAAAAGGGAAATTGATAACAATAAAGTGGAATCATGTTCATTTTTAAACTTCCCATGTACAATTTTGAAGAACTTACGGAAAATTGGTAAGCAGCCTAGCCCGGCGGTTAACAGCATGTGGGCCAAAGCCTGGGGTCCCAGCCCAGTTCTACCACCAAGAAACCTTATCATCATTGGAAACTTAAGCCTCACTTTAAAAGAAAACATAAAATTGAGATAATAACTACATAGAAGTTGCTATAAGAATAAATATAATAATATGCATAAAACTCAGTACAGCATAAATGATATATACTCAATAGATGTGATGTCAGTAATAAACATAATGATAATAGTAATTGTGCTATATCTCTATTTTCCCCTTTATATAAACCTGTACTTTTTAAAAAAAATACTATTTTGGATGAATATTTAAATTATTTAATGTTTTTAAACCATTATTTAATAAACAGAATTGAGCTATAATGAATTATAAATACTTCCTTCAACAAGAAAGTGGCATACATGGTAAATTAATAAGCAAACTCTTATATCATTTATAATGTAGTTTTATCCACATATTAAAACTCTACCATATGGACCTCATGTGCCTCAGGTGTTACGTGGCTGAGTGGAGGGTGGCTGAGAGCATGTGCGAGACAATAGAGGGACATTGAAAATGACTTTCTGAAGATGCCTTTCTTTGCTTTAGTGTTGTTATTTAACAGTGTTTGTTCTCAACCAAAATGGTACAATCAGAAGAATGTTTAGTAACTTTATAGATTCTACTAAACCAAGGAACATAGGAAACAAAGCATGATGTGCTACTTGGAAGATAGGCTGTAAATTCCTCTGGGTAAAGTGGAGATCTGGAAAGAAATAGATGGGATGCTGTTTATTAGTGTTAATTTCAAGATTACATAACTAAAAACATGTTTTCAACGGAGATTATTAGACTAATTGTAAAAAATTTCCCCCAAATCTCGGGGTCTTAGTGGGCAAAAAGCTGGTTATGAGTCAACAAGTTAGGACTATAAAGTGAAAACATCACTTATTTCTACTACATATGTAAGATTTAATCACTAGAACCTTCAAATAGTGGTTAGCTCTGCTTAGACATCACTGTAGTACTCTGGTGAGGTCAGAACTTCACAGATGGAAGAAGAACAAGTAAAACTTACAGATAGGTGTCATAAAGATGGTTCAAGGAGAAGGAGAAAAATACAGAGGCAGAAAAGTTAAAAGAGTGTAAATTACCCCACTCTGAAGAAGAGAAGGATATGTAGGAGATTAGCTACCTTCAGGCATATACATGGCTGTTAAATTGCAGTTGGATATTAGTTGTTTCCCATCACCACCACTGTAAGGGAAGCAGGATTGAACCATATGAAAGAGATACAGGGAAGAACTTTAGAGTGACTGGAAAACAAAGGGCAAGTTATCAACAGACTATTCAGAGTCTTCTTCTCTAGGCAAGTTAAAAGCAAAATAAACTTTATTTACGGAGCTTGAATTAGGAGTGGGGGAATGACTTTTTCATAGCAGATAAATGTCTGAGTGGTTTCTGAAATTTTTTTCTAGCTTTACTGCTAAGATAATAAAATACTTGGGAAATGAGAGAGGAGCACAACAGACACCTCTGACACTTAACTTTGGAATTACTTGTAATTCCATTCTTTAATCATTTCCATTTTTAATCACCTTACTTGGCATTTATAATATGATCTGATGTGATTTTTTTCCTATTCTGCAGATTACTCGCTTGAAGATAGATAGGAATCCATTTGCCAAAGGTTTCCGCGACTCTGGGCGTAACAGGTAAGTCTTAGTGATGAACATCTGCCTGTGGTAAATATAATTGTTTTTATTGTATATTTTCCATTACAGTGTAAACAGTTAAATTTACGGACATGGTTTTGGAATCATTTCTGATGAGGATTTAAACTTGTTAATACTATTGGGCTTTGGTTATAACTTATTTTGGGGTATAGTGTTGTGGCCTGCCCGTTCTTAAGGTGAACTTTTAATGCGTGATGCTGGGGTGAAAATGGAAGTTCTCAGAGTGTACAGCACGCGCTGCCTCTGAAGGGGCCTCGAGGGAGCCTGCCCTTACAGGCCCAGGGGCTTCAAATATCCCAAGTCGGCACCCTCTCTGCATCTGCTCTTGGTTTAGGAATCGCTTAGTGATGTCACAGCTGTCTATTGATTCTGTTTTTGGAATATGGTAGGGTCTCTTGTTCTTTCAGATTTCCAACTAGAATATGAGACTACTGCCCATTGCCAAGAGAGCTGATGTTCTTTAGTTTCCAAATTTGTCTTGGCTCTGCTGACAGTCACACACTTGTTTATTTTTTCTGTGTCGTGTTTTATGGTGTTTGTACTAAGTGGGAGAGCTACAATAATGAAATCCACTCTATTACTTTTATCAAAAAGCAGATCACCCTAGTCTGTGTGCCAAGAGTTTTTGACTTTATTGATAGAATTTTATTCCAATACAGTTCAGTGCAACATTTTCTAAAATAACTGTTGATAGTAGTAGAGAGTAATAACAGACTAACGTTCTCCAGATGCCTTTTCAGGGTAAGGCTTTGACTTAAATGTTTTAAAAAGCATTTTGTTTTTAAAAAAGTATTTGAGAAATTTTTATTACTTTACTCCAGAAATTATTCTAATACTCCTTGAAAACTTGGTATTGATAATTTGTGTCTACATGAAGCTAAAATCCCCAATTATTTTAGAGACAATTTCATTTAAAATTGTAGAAAGAAAACAATCAGGTAGTATTCTAGATTTTTAGTTTTTTCAGCTGATTCATTGAACAAGGCAGCTATAGACAGAGATCTTTTCTGAGAATACAATCAAGACTTAATTTCATCTTTCTATGCAATGGCATCGTTTAAACACTGTGAGGACTAAAAAGCAACTAAAATACTACTTCGAGGGTGGCCTTTAACTTGGTGCAGGTAGATCAACAAGACTAAAAACAGGGCTTCCCTCTGAAATCTTCGTTCTGTGAGAAGATTTGCATGTGTGCCTACGCTAAGATGTTTGCTGTATTGAAATTATGTATTCTGTTTATAAATGTCTGTTTAAATGTGGAGAAAAACTTTGCTTGGCTTTTGTTATGTTACATTAGTTCCTGGTTAACTTTGCTTTTCAGAGGAGTTTCTGAAAGTGGAATAATTTAGTCCCTGAGATGGTTGCTGGTGAGGTGACTGAAGGGAGCCTTCGGGAAGACCCTTTTCCTACTTTGACACTTTGGTGAAATCTTCTGTTGGTTTTGGTTATAGCAGAATAGTATTTATCCAGTTAAGAGTCTTGCATGTATTTCCGTTTATTATTATTTTTTTTAAGCAGAGACTAAATTTATTAAAACTCACTGAAACTTCAGGAGGCCAGCACTGGAGCTCAGAGGGTGAGCAGCCAGGACCTCTGTCCAGGCGCCCAGTGTGACAGCTCCAGCAAGGCCTCCCTGTTGTTGACACTGGGGAATCACGCTGCTGATACACCACTTCAGTTTTGAAGCAATAAATTTAAAAATATTTTAAAAGGCATATTTGGGTAGATAATAATAGTGAATAAACCTTCACGTAGAAGTGAAATGATAGGATGCATATGACAAATTTTTAGGAAGATTTCTAGAAAAGTCAGCATAATGCAAAAGCATCTGTTTTTTTAAAATTTGGTCAGTGAAGAAAATCAATGGTTTTGGTGAAAGTCAACTGCTAAGTCTATTGTTTGGTGAAGTCAAAATGCTGGGTTTACAATGAGTATTTCCCTGCCCTTGGGCTATTTCAGGAATATGTAGGCATGGTACCGATGGTACTTACTACTATTTCTTTCCTGATTCTAAAACTTTCAGAGTTTTTAACAGATATATATAAAATAATGAATTATGTTTTGACACTTCTTAAATTTTGCTAAAACTTAAAGTGTTTATTTTGCTTCAAATGTTTAAACAATAGCTTAGTACAAGAAAAACATATTAGACCTATACATAGCTTTTTTGTTAGTGAAATGAATAGTTTCACTTTTCTTCTCAGTAAAATTATTTCTTCTGCTTCTTATACATAAGCTCTTCAGTTCTCATTTGGAATGTTAAATATCTATAAACCAATATTCTGCATTTAAAAATATCTGATTTTAACATCTTCCATTGATAAATGCAAAAGATGGAGAAGAGAAAATTTGATTAGCTTTAAAGCTTTCTAATTGATGGATTATGTTCCTTAAAAAATAAACTTCAGTTATATTTAAAACTTTGAGGGTGCAATGGTGCGGAGGGCTTGGAGGAGGAGTGATTTTTTTATATATTGGTAGAGAAGAAAGCCCGTGAGAAAAAGTTCAATATATTTCTTTAATACCCCTGGTTCTGTTGTGCTCTTGTTACTGCTTTTTAATGCAAATTCTATTATTTTTCCCCATACATGAAATAAACAAATTAAGCAGGACAAAAAATAAACATGAACTTGTGATTTTTTAAACTTTATAAAACAATTTGCTTTAATTAAAAATTATCCCTTCCTGGCTATTTATGGTTGTACGGCCTATTTTATAGGAATCAGTAGCTTCAGCCCTTAAAAGCTCTCCTGCAAGACATTTGCTATGTGAAAGAGAATTTATGTGCTGAGAATAGTTTCATTCTTCAGTTAGGCCTTAGGTTTGACCCTATAAAATTTTTTACTCAGGAAGGTACAAAAATTTCTTCTCTTTAAATACTTCAGGAAAAGCATAACCATTTTACTAAATAAACTTGGCCATTTGATAGCATAAATTAGGGTGGTGATAAAATGTGGAAATTTTTCAAAGGCATCTTGTATAAATTATCGCCTTGGCTACACTCCTGCAGGAGGTGCCTTTTATCTTTTCTTTAACTAGACGGGAAAAGTCTCCATTACTGGAGAAAATGAAGGCTTTTTAAGAAAAGTCCAGATTCAGCTAATAAATATTTTATAACTGTTTCCTGCAAAATATCTGAAATCCTTTCTGGAACTTGCAGTGTGAAACAGCAGCCTCAAAAAAAAAAAAAAAAAAAATCAATAGCTCCAAATTAGATCACTTGTAGATATGCCACCTTCCGAACCTGTCTTTCAAGCTTAGGGGTCTGTGTTTGGGATGATCAGTAACTCCTCCCGAAGAATTTAGTCTATGGATTTGTATTTACACTGCTAAGGCAAGTATTGCCATAATGCTCATCGCTATAGTTAATGGCTTCTAAGTCCAGTGGCTGCTCATTAATTACCTCTTAGTAAATTTCCTTGGAGACCATTGCATGACCACTTTAGTATCTTTAATATTTAAAACTATGATTACTAAAACTCATCTACGTGGTAATAAAAGAGCAGTTTTATGCAAAACTGTGTCCTAATGTTCTTTAACATTTAAAAAAGCTTGTTTCTAGAATGTCATACGAGTTTAGTATTAGTACAAGCTACATATAGAGTAATTGGCAAAACAGCACCTAGCTTTAGTTAGTTGAGTATTAAATGACATGCAGGCTACACACAGCCTGCCAAACTCTCCCCAAATTAATACTTTAATATATGTAAAACATTACTCAGTAGAGTGATCTTGGATTTGGCTTGTGGTCAGCCACAGATATGATGTCTGGTTTGGGGAAAATCACCTAGTAGCAAACAACTTTAGAGCTAGGACAGGATTCATAGCTTTTGTATTCTAATCCTCACTTTGTGGGAAACTAAAGTCCAGTGAGGTTAGAACAATTACTTAAGGTCATGTAGTAAGTTTTAGTGCTTGTAGTCACAACTCAGTTCTCTTGACCGTCAATCGATGTCCTTACCACTAAATAGTTCCTTCTCTGTGGCACACTGATTACATCTGGAGCCAGAGTCTGCCCTTCACTGTTAGTGCAGCCCAGGTAAAGCATGTGCAGGCCCACTCTGTGCCCTGCTCTCCCCTTTGGCAGCCCTCTACTAGCTCCTGTATGGCACTGGTGATGGCTCTTGAAAGTGCTCCCTGAACAGCAGCCCCCTGAACCCATGATTTCAGGGATGAGTCAGATCCATGTGTGGTCCCATATGAGCATGTTTATATATGCAAGGCTGTGTACGTATCACACCACCCATCCACACACACACATACACACACGTGTCTCCAGTCACTAAGATGGGGTAGTCATGCTCCTTATATAGTCATGATAGAAATTGACAAATTAATGGGTCTGTACCCTGAACACTCTAAGGAAGCACATTCAATGTGTAAAACCTAGGAAGAGAAGGGCAGGGCATGTGAGATGATTTTATCTGCACACATCCTTACCACAGGTGTCATCTAGGTGGTAAGACTCTGGTGGCGGTTGGGGGGAAGGCAGTTTCCTTTAGTCTTACTTCATAGTTCATGACTTATGAACTACGCATGAAGATGCAGCAGATGTGGAGGAGGTAGCAAACTGAGTCTAAGTTATTAAAGATAAATCTATCTTTAACATCTACATTATGTACAAATTACCTGTACTCAATAAAACTACATCTAACAATCACAGGAGATGTCTATGTATTGTTTGACACTCAGGAAGCAGTCATTTCTGCCGTGGAGCTGTGTGTTTCATGAAAAGCATGAGGTTATCTAAATTAACATATTGTTTAGGTCTGAGACGGTTGAGGGAATAGTGGTGAGGTCTTAAGAATGGTCTAGCTGAATGAAGGACCTCATTTCTAGAACCTAGAGGACTTAGTTATCTGATATAAGGAGGGAAAGACTCGGAATCACTTATGGTAGGAGATAAATACATGTATGTATGTATTTAGAGTAGTAGCCCTTATTTCAAAATATGCCTATGTTATGTGAATAGTCCATGGTCAATTTTTCCTGTCTCTTTAAGTATCCATCCATTAAGTATACGTCAGGATTTTAAAACAATGTTTGAGGCTAATGCTAGCTCCATATGCCTTATCTCCCTGTGAGACCACCTTCCTGTGATCCTCCTGCACAGTGGGCTGAGAGGCCAGTGCTGCCCCTCAGACCCCCTGTTGCTGGGGTGAGAGCACACCCTGGCTGCCCTGGATGTGCTGGAGATTGAGCCTCTGAGAGAGAAAACCGTTTTCTTTGGATGGATGCTCTTCTAAACTGGCTGCCGAGGCAACGGATGATGGCCAGAAGTGTGTCTTAGGAAAGAGGTGGCTTTATGGGGCCTACCTTTATGTCAGAGGCTTCCTCACAAGAGGGAGAAGTAGTGTAATAGGGAGAGAGGGCGGGTTCCAGAACAAAGCAGAGCCTTGGAGTCACACGAGCTAGGATGGGCGCTTTTAGCCTCAACTTCTCACCCCGGGCGAACAGAGAGCTTTATATTCTCTGAGATTGGCTTAGTTTTCTGACATTAACAAGAATTCTTGGGTGTTTCCATCCTCTGTGCCCCTAGTGACAGAATAGTAGGCCATCTCTGAAGCCTTTCTTTCTGCCTGTGCCAAGCCTGCCGGTGTGGGGGGCACTGTCAATACCGCCGGTATTTTCTGAGCTGCCTACCGCTGAGGAAAACTTCGGTGCTCCAAATGCTGTTTCTTTTGTTCACCCCCATTCTGATTCTTCTGTTTAGAATGGGTTTGGAAGCCCTCGTGGAGTCATATGCCTTCTGGAGACCTTCACTACGGACTCTCACCTTTGAAGATATTCCTGGAATTCCCAAGCAAGGTAAATCTCAGAGTCATCCAGTCATATAAACAGCCAGTTCTCATCTAGAAGCTCAGGCACTGGAAAATATGTGTCATCATTTAGATCTACAGTGGCGACCTCATCACCAGCATCTCCCTTTTACAGGATCTGTGTCTTTCTATGTGGTATGGCGATGGGCCAGGAAAAATGCCTGTTGTGGTCTTAGGTTAAGTCTTCGATGTTTTAGGCTGTTTGTATGTTTCATGACCTTTATCTCACTTTAAATCTCTTATTAAAATTAGAGGTGGACTAGGGTGTTCTGGACCACCTCACAAGAAAGCGCATGCCTAGTTCTAGTCCACCTTTTCTTGCCAGCTTCTTTTTTCTCTTTTTTCACCAGAATTGCCTCTAGATAGAGTTCTCCTGTTGGCTTTATGATGAGAAAGTCAGGCACACTTGGGCAGACTTCCCTGTGCCCCCCTCTGCGTTTCCATCCCAAGCCCGGGGCTAGTGTCTCCTTAGAGGGAGCTGCGCAGAAAGGCATGGCGCTTCTGTGACACTTCCTTCTCCGCCCAGGGTCGGCAGGACTGCCAGCCCACTCCCACACTCAGGCTGTTTGCATCTGATCCTGCCCAGCTTCCCAGTAAGAATTTAGCGTGCTGTGTTTTAGATAATTATCATTGGTTGGATTGGGCTTTTAGATTATTTTAAGGAGCTATATAAAACACTGTCACTAGTGCAATGAAGGTTTTACAACCTGTCCAGCCCATTGGAATTCTCCTCTCCCCCTAAATTCTGTCAAGTTTGCAATCACCAATCTGCCAGCATATCCAGAGAGAGGAGTCGGCCACCATTACCATTATTGATTGGAGGCAGGGTTAACCACGCTCTCTGTTTCACAGGACTGTTTGTGTGCTGGACACCTGCTCTTGTGTTAGCATGTGATTCACCCACCTGCTTCTGGTGGGAAATGAAAATTTTGAAGTTCTAGTCTATTGCCAATTGCAATAGCCAAGCCCTGTGTAGTACAGTTATTGATGCACCACAAGCTTTCAGTGGCCAGCTGAAGACAAGTTTGAGGCACCATGTGCTTTCGACCATTTCAGCTCTTTCCTTTGAATTCCTTCTTTTTCTTGCAAGAAGATATACTGATCCAGAACAAGTTGTGCTGAAAGAAGAGGTGAGAGGGGATGGTTATATTTTTGGAATAAGATACAGAGTAAGATGAAATTTATATTTTATAAAGTTGCTGGGAAAGTCAGCATTTATAATATTACAGTAAATGAGAAAACTTTGAGAAAGCTAATATGAAAATTCTGTGTGGTAGTGTCCTAATATTTCTGAAAAAAACAAAAAACAAAAAACAAAAAACAAACAAAAAAAACAACCAAAAACAAAAAACATCATTCCCTGAGGAGATATTTTTCCTTAAAAATATTGAGAGGATCTGTGTTTAAAATATTTCACCTGAAATCAATTACAGTGTAATTCTTCGGGAGCTAAAACCTCCTTTTCACCTTTGTAGCACCCCATCTAACAAGCACTGTCTAGCTCCTGATTACAAAATTGAAAGGAAAAGATGGCAGTGCAGTCGTTGCTCTTTACATTTCACCTTCTTTTACAGGAAATGCAAGTTCCTCCACCTTACTCCAAGGTTCTGGGAATGGCGTTGCTGCCACTCACCCTCACCTTTTGTCTGGCTCTCCTTGCTCCTCTCCTGCCTTCCATCTCGGGCCCAATACCAGCCAGCTGTGTAGCCTGGCCCCGGCTGACTACTCAGCCTGTGCTCGGTCCGGCCTCACCCTCAACCGGTACAGCACATCCTTGGCCGAGACCTACAACAGGCTCACCAACCAGACCAGCGACACCTTCGCCCCGCCCAGGACTCCCTCCTACGTGGGCGTGAGCAGCAGCGCCTCCGTGAACATGTCCATGGGCGGCGCTGACGGGGACACCTTTAGCTGCCCACAGACCAGCCTGTCCATGCAGATTTCGGGGATGTCCCCCCAGCTCCAGTACATCATGCCTTCCTCCAGCAATGCCTTTGCTGCTAACCAGACCCATCAGGGTTCCTATAACACCTTCAGGTTACACAGCCCCTGTGCCTTGTATGGATATAACTTCTCCACATCCCCCAAGCTGGCTGCCAGTCCTGAGAAAATTGTTTCTTCCCAAGGAAGTTTCTTGGGGTCCTCACCGAGTGGGACCATGACCGATCGGCAGATGTTGCCCCCTGTGGAAGGAGTGCACCTGCTTAGCAGTGGGGGTCAGCAGAGTTTCTTTGACTCTAGGACCCTAGGAAGCTTAACTCTGTCATCATCTCAAGTGTCTGCACATATGGTCTGATGAAGCCTTTAAGTTAAATTACATTCGAATTGATCTAATGTATTTTCTTCATTTTCTTTTTTCTTTTTGAAAGCAATATGAAAGGAAACTATCAGTAGCTTCTAAAATGTACATACAATGGAAAATGAAGGCTCACTTGAGTTTTTTTCACTGTCTCATGGTGGGATTGTAATTATCTATGGTGTATATGTATACTGTACATAGCACGTGGAGTTTTGAAGCCTAAAAAACCACACCCTCCCTCTGTTTTTCCCTCTACTTCACCCAGTTGCACAGAGTATTGACATAAGTGGAGTATGTTCAACCAGCGTTCTCAGACTCTTTCAAAAACCAAACAGCAAACTTAAAACTTGGCAATGATACTAATCAGACTAAGACTTATAACAAGTTATCAGAAAAATGCTCTATGCAGTTTCATACTTGAGTGTTGATAACCAGCAGTAACCAGCACACAGAATCTTGTGATTTCTGTTATTGTTGGGTATAGTGTGAGAAACTAAAATGCCAAAGCCATTTGAAGCCTTAGTATTAGTTCTGAGGTATTTATAATCATGAAGGATTAGCTTTTGTGTTCCTGCCTGCTCTTATCACAGATATTAGATGACTGTGGTTCTGCAAAAACCCATAACCCACAATAATTATTTTCTTAAGGAAGGTAGAGGAGAAGCTTGTGATTTTTTTTTTTCATTTTCCATTGAGCATTTAAGAGGTATTTATTCATCTGCAGAGAATGAATTTCCAGTATTTTGGAATTTTTTCCTCGTTTTATTTAGTTTATCAAGTAGACTGTTAAAGAATGTTCCATAAATATTTTTAAGTTCCAATTTTCGCTAGGGAAAGAATATATGAGTGGAATGGCAAAAAGAAAATAAATCCACTTCAAATTCTTTGATCCTGATGAGAAAGGTCTATCTTTTTAAATCAAGAGGAATAATATTGTCAGCTACCCCTTAGATTTTTATAGTGCGGTTTTTCATTCGGGATATTTTTTCCATCTTATTTTGAGATTCCTGACCCATGGTCTATAAGTAAGGAAAAAGGCATGTATGCTACTTATTTATGTCTTGTAACTCCTACAAATTGAAACCTCTACCCTCCTTAACCCTGTCCTTCAGTCTGAGTCTTTTCCCGAAATGGATATATTCTAGGCCTTTATGGTGTTAAAAAACTCTGTGAGGAATTTCAGGGGGTTATCTCCAGCAATCTGTCTTTTGGGGGCTATAGTGCAAAGGCCAAAGCCCATTACTAAAAAGCCCCTCTTGGAGGACTAAGGAGGAAGATACTAATTATGATAAAGGAGCTATAAAACTTTTAACCCCAACAGCATTTTTAACCTCGAAACTGGAAAAATGAAAACATTGATTTTTTTTTTTAAATTTAAAAGAATGTATACCTGATTTAAAAGTTTCAAAACAAGTAACCTTTATAGTTCCTATGAGATGACTAGGAAAGCCTGAAAATGCATGGTGGGAGCATTACCATATGTCTGTTGAGAAACTAAAACAATGTCTGTCTGTTGCCTTATTACAGTTGACATATTTTCCAAGCTAAAGCAGTATGATTGCCGTTCAGTGCTAAACAGAGTTGCTTTAACTCATCCCTAGTTTAGATGGGGAAAGAGTGTAGCTCCTGATTTTCTTCATTTTACAGCAATATGGCTGTTGAATGGTTAGGAGGATTCCTATTTCAACAGGATTTGCACAGGATGTGACTCTGTTTATAGATATTGATAAGTTTCTTCATGCATTCTGTAACAGTTCATCAAATTAATTTTGATTTTTAAATTTAAGATTAGCATGGAGGGACATTAAATATTTCCAATAGGTAGAGCTATATAAGATATTTGTGTATGGTATTAGTAGCTTGACAAAGATTTGGGAAAAGTCCTCATGAGTACATCCCAGGCTTTAGTGCTTGGTATAATTCGAGGAGAACAAAAGAGTTTTCCATCTTCAGAAAACATGCAAGTAATAATCTGTTCCCATATGTATTAGTAAGATAAGCATTTTCCTTTTTGCTGTTGGTGATTTGAGATGAAACCACAATACAAGTATTATTAATCTTTTTTTTATTTAGCAACATTGTACAAATGCTGTTTCCTTTAGGTTATACTGTAAATATTAATCACCATATCACTTCAATGACTAGGCTTTTATCATTATATTAAATGACATACATGCATTGATAATTATAATTATATATCTGTATTTTATTAAAAAGGTGCTTAAGAAATTATATATTAAAGTGTGTTACTAAACCCTTTTATGACGTTGGAGGGTAATCATTTAAAGTGTCTATAAATGTGCCAAGAACAAGCTCACACACACATACCCCAAACACAAATTTTGTAGCTTTCTATTACAAGGCATGGAAAAATGAGCCTCTTATTAATTTTTCATGTGTTAAATATAATTCCTTGGTGCTCTGACCATGTCATTGAGGGTGAAGCCCTGACAAATGTTGAACACATGAAAATTCAAATGTGAGGAGGGCAGTGTGGTATGTTTTGTTTCAGGTCCAGGGGAGAAGGGCAAGGATACAAGAATGAGCTGCTTGTACCCCTGACCAGTGATGACAGATCACTTCTAGACCCTTGGACGAGAAAACATTCCAGGGGACATTGTGATGAGGTGAGGTTGCTGCTATCACAACCAGTCACATTCTGAAAATTAACACTTGCTTCCATACACGCTCCCTCCCAGAGGTCAACAGCTTTTCACAAGTAGGGCACCCAGTTGCTGACCCCTATTTCTGGAATGTAGGGGGTCAGGAGACTTCAGTGGCTCCCAGAGGAGGCTGGGCCACAGTGTTGCTGATATAGCAAAGGATCACTATTTACATTAATTTACACTTACTCTATGTTAATTAGTGAAATTTTGAACAAAAGGAACCTCAACTTAAAAATGTGAGTCCTTCTGGAGACATTATTCTTCAGATTTAAACTTTTCAGCAACTCACACCTTAGTATGAAATAGATAAAGAGAAGCTTTGGAGATAGCTGGAGGTTTTATTAGGATAGAAGAGTAACTTTTGGAATGGGGCAATTCTGGGAAGATTTGGATGGTGGGGAGAAGGTGCAAGAAGAGAGATCTCTAACCAAACCGGGTATAAAGCCATTAAAAGTAATCATTTGATGGGCTTTTTTCAGGAGTCGTGGTGGAGTTGGTGGATGCTACATTAACACACTCTCTAATTAGACAAGTTTGTAAAGAAGACTTTATTTCAAATGAAGAATCCTTTATTTCAAATAAAACTGTGCTGGGTTTCCTCATGGGGAATTTATTGACTCATCTACATGGAGGTTTTCTTAAGCCCTCCACTGGAAATTAAACAATTTTATTAAGTTATTACCACATTGTGTTTTCATCTTGTTCATCATCATTCTTTATAAGAGGTTCTCTGATAGGCTGAGAGTAAGGTTGACTATATGATCTCTTAAGTAGAGATACTCAATTGCAATCTTCTAGGAGCTCAAAGCTTTAAAATATTATCAGTGGTATAAAAGAACAAATATCATATATTCAAGTATAGAAACATCCAACAGATATATAAACTTAGTTTCTATCTATATGCAAATATATTTTCAAGTAATACATTTTCTTTTTCTGGAATTCTGATACGGTGAAAACATTTCCTTGGGGATTAGGAAGATTGGTTTCAAACCATGGATTTCCCAATCATGACTTTGAACAAAAACTTAATCACTTTAGGTCTCAGTGTTTTTATGATTGAAAAGGGTAGCTGGGATGAGAATCTTTATTATTTCAATTTCAAGGTCATATGACCTTAGTATAAGAATGGCATTCAGCTTAATAGTAGGAAAATAGTTTTATAAAAATGTATCTTTTGGGATATGAAATCCCAAGATGGAATATGCATATTTACAAGGAACATAATGCAACCAGGATTGTTTTAAATTTTTTGGACTACTTGGAATTTATCTTTTAATTGTAACTCAGCATTATTTAGTTATAATATGTAGGACATATTGTAGTAGTATTTAAAGGAAGCTGAACTATATTTCTAACCTTATAGTGAACAACAACAAAAAGATATTAATAAAATTTTCTTTTCAAGATGCTCTTAATTCCATAACATAAAATTATTTTACTTCAGAATAAGTATGGCATTTAGTAAAATATATAGAGAATACTCCAAGTTCATTCAAAATACATTTAAATCCTCATTGAGAAAACACTTGTGTTTGCCATTTTGAAGGGGTTTTATTCATGCTGAAACTCAGATGGAATAAACTAAAATAGTTGGGTACTCTGCAATTCACTGAGTTTATCTGATGCTGGATCCATACGTACATTTATCTGTCCGTGTTTTAAATTATGTTAGTATGGTCAATAGACTAACTTAGTAAGTTCAAGATATTTTTCTAAATAACAGCTTTATTGAGATATAGTTCACAAACCACGCAATTCACTTATTTATAGTGAACAATTCAATAGTTTTTAGTATATTCAGAGTTGTGCAACCATTGCTATAATCAATCCCAGAACATTTTCATCACCCTGCAAAAAACTCCATGCCCATTAACAGTGACACCCAATTTTCCTTCCACCACTGCTTTACCCTACAGTCCTAGGCAATCACTGATCTACTATCTGTCTATTAGGCTGCCAATTCTGGGCATCTCATGTAAATGAAATCATGCAATACGCAGTCCTTTGTGACTGGTTCCTTTCACTTAGCATAATGTTTTCTAATGTTCATTCACATCATAGTATATATCAGTATTTAATTTGTTTTTATTGCTTAAAAATATTCCATTGTAGGTATATAATGCATTTTATTTATCCACTTATCAACTGATGGACATTTGAGTTATTCTATTTTTTGGCTTTTATGAATAATGCTGCAGAAAACATTGGTGAACAAATTTTTTTGCAGACATGTGTTTTTATTTCTCTTGGGTATATGCCTAGGAATGCTTTTGCTGAGTCCTGCTATAATGTTTTGTGGAAATTCCAGGCTGTTTTCCAAAGTGGTTG